AAAAAAAAAAAAAAAATGTATCAGACAAGGATCTAATTTCTAAAATATATAGGAAAATACAACACCTCTACAAGAAAAAGACAAATAACCCAATTAAAAAATGGGCACAGGACATAAACAGACACTTCACCAAGGAAGACATTTGGCCAGCCAACAAACACATGAAGAAATGTTCACGATCATTAGCTATTAGATAAATGCAAATCAAAACAACAATGAGATATCATCTCACATCAGCAATAGCAGTGAAGTTCAAAAATGCAGAGGACAATAAATGTTGGCAAGGATGTGGAGAGAACGGGACACTTCTACATTGCTGATGGGATTGCAAAATGGTCCAACCACACTGGAAAACAATATGGTGCCTCCTTAGAAAGTTGGAAATAGAAATACCTTATGACCCAGCAATTCCTCTACTTGGTATTTATCCACAAGAAATATGAGTCATAACACGAGTAGATACATGCACACCTATCAGTCAGAACTGACTCCATGGCACATAACCACCACCACCACCACCACCACCACGTTCATAGCAGCACTATTCATAATAGCAAAAAGATGGAGACAGCCTAAGTGTCCATCAATGGAAGAATGGATAAACTGGTACATCCACACAATGGAACAGTATGCTACCTTGAAGAATAACAAGGAAGCTGTAAGCCACCACATAACGAGGATGAACCTTGAGGACATTATGCTGAGCGAAATTAGTCAGTCACAAAAGGAGAAATACTGCATAAGACCATTATTGTAAAAGCTTAAGAAAAAATACCCACACTAAAAGGAAAAAAAAAATCTTTATTGCTTACCGGAGGCGTAGGGGGTTGGGTGAGGGGAGGAAGGGAAGGTGGAGCACAGGGTAGGGAATAGATATGCAATAGTTCAGGTGTTGTGTGTGTCGGGGGCAATATACAAGAAGGGGAAGGGGAATGGAGGAACAAGGTAGATAAGAGAACATTTAGGCAGGTTTGTATGGGATAAATAGGACAGATGTAAATAGTGATGTATGCTCAACCATGGAACAACAGGGCTCTGTGATACAGGGATTGAGGCGTAGTCTGAATGGGTAAAAGAGGGGAAATAATGTTAAGATGTTTGAATGTCTTATGAATTTTGGTTTCCCTTGCCTACTATTGTAAAATAACACTTGAGGGGGAGAGAAAGGAATAGCCAGAAACGTGACTATAGAAAGCTTGTAAGTCCGTCTTCAGCCTATAACTGATTGGAATACCTTAAAGGGGGCTAGGACTTGCCCAGTGAAAGAGGCTTCCTGTGGAGCCTTTGTAGAGTGTAAGACCTTAGATGGAATCCTGATCCCCATCCAGAATCTTCTGAGGTGGGAAATATCCACTTGAAAAGACAAGCAGAACAGCCTGGAGCAGCTAGAGGAACAGAAGATACTTCTTAAAAGAAAGACCAGCAGGAAAAATCAAAAACAAAAACAGCAGTCTGATTGACTATCACAAGAACAAGCAAGTTGTTCACCTTGTTTACCTGTTCACTGGGGAACCATCAAGGCAAGCAATCAAGTCCCTTCAGGGCAAATCCCATTCCAAGACTGAAATTCAAAAGGAGTACACGAGCGGGCATGTAATCTTGCTGGTGACCACGTTGGTCTACCGATGAGGGGAAGTCAGGGAAAAGCATCAATGAAGATGTGGGTTGAGTCTGACCATATTCAATAGACTCCTGTCAACCTGGAGTGAGACCTGGTTGGCCAGCAGTGTGGTGAGACCCAAGCCCATGGACAGGGACATAGACACAGAGGGCTAGAGCAGACAGAGAAGCATTCAGCTGATATGAAGTGAGCGGAGACGTACAAGAACGCCCAAACTTGCAGATAGTACCTATTTGACCTAGCTTCAATGGCTGGATGATTAGAACTCAACTAGAAGAAGAAAGAAAAATTAAAAAAAAAAAGTATAATCCACTACAATTTGACGAACTTGACCTGTACTTATGGATGTAGTAGCTTAAAAGAGGGAAAGAATCTTCACAGCAAGGATCATTCACATCCCCTCGGTAAATAGAGATAGAGATGGGTAGCTTAGACATTGGCTACCTAAAATGTGGGGCTATAAAGGCATGAAGTGACTGGCTTACAAGTTTTTTAAGGGAGTTTAGTTTCAGAGGGTGTGGGAGAAGGTAGAATCTCCATTGAGTGGTTTTCAACCTGTCTAGACTGGGCTGGTGAAAGGAGATGGGGATAAGACGCTTATGTTTCAATAGTAAGTAATGGTTATCAGGATTGATTGTGATTGTTGCAAATGTAAAGGTAGAAAAAAAGAGGGGGAGTGGTTGATCCTACAATCCAGGAGCAGAGGACCCTGAGACCATAAAGGAAGAAGAGCGGGAGTGGAGTATGTGACCCTATTCAGAGAAGCAGCGATGGACACCAGAGATGGAGGCGGTGATAATGACATGGAGAGATGGAGCAGCTGGGGACTCTAGATTCAAGGAGGGAGAGGGGCTGTGTACTGGCGGCCAGGGGGCAGGCATTCACGGTATGCCCTTTGGTTGTTTGAATGATGATATATTCCTGAGCATTTTGGTGTACATCCAAAAAAAAAAGGCATGGAGGAATAGAAGCAAATACTGTTGAATAATGATGCATAATGCAGGGGATTGTAATCATTGCAATGAAATGAAATATGATAGGATGAGGATAAAGCTGATATTCTCCCATGTAAACTATCATTCAATTCACAATGAAAACTTAAAGAAAAAGAAGAAGACCCCCAACGAGATGGATTGACACATGGCAGCAGTAACAGAGCGAACATCGGAACGACTGTGACAAGAGCACAGGACTGGACAGTGTTTTGTTCTATTGTACACGGGGTTGTTATGAGTCAGAACTGACTCAATGGGATCGAACAGCAACAACAATGATATTTCAAGTCTAAATGTTTAAAATGTTTTGTTTCACGGTTTCATTTAAAACTTGAGTTCAAAAACAGAACATAATATAGCCTAAATCAGCAAACAAACAAAGTCCTAAAGAAATAGATGAACTCATATTTTAGCTAACAGCCAACTACACACCAAATGTGATAGCTGTGTTACCATCAGAGTGGCTCACGGGTGTACCATCAAGAGTAAGTTGGATGAGGACAGACACTGGACTTCTTGGTATACCCAACAATCAAAACACTGCTCTTAGGTTCGAGAACATTGCTTCCACAGAGACAGAGGAACAAACTTCTGCAAGAAGAGCTAGAGTGAGGTTTGCTAGCTCTTCTTGATCTATTTCACTCCCCCACCCCACCCCCAAAACACGCGTGGGACATGGACTTTACACGTGGAATGTCAGAGGTGAAAAGAGAAGCCTTGGAAATTCAGTCAGTTCAGGAGTCACGGGTTGAGTTTTGGGAGATGGCTTGTTCTCGTGACCTTTTTCACTGGTCCTTTCTTGCCGCTCCCTATCTTCTGATTAACCGCATAAGCTCTCCCCCTGGAAAGACAGACATGTGAATGGAGATTTTCCCATCACCATTTTGTAAAACAAACCTCTATGTGGTCCACAGGGAGGACTGAGATTCACCCTGTCCTCCCAGCCCACAGTCCTTCCATGAAGACCTTTCTCCTTCCAGACCAGTTGTGGGCAGGCCTAGAGGCCAGTAGCTCCCAGGCAGCGTGGGAAGGGATGGGAGACTTCACTAGGTATCTTCTCATCCTTGGGATTTGAAATAAAGCTAAGGGCAAAACATATATACGTAAACACAACATGGACTCCTGGTATGGCACTGTAGGATCAGCACTGGACAGCGAACCACAAAACCCACCAGCTGCTCCTAGGAAACACTGTGCAGGGTTGCTATGAGTCAGAATCGACTTGATGGCACTTAACTACAACAACAACATACACACATACATATAAGGGGGCTTCAAAAGGTTCATGGAAAAATCCCATTATCTTTCCATTCCATTTCTCCACAAACTTTTTGAAGCCCTCTTCTCTGTATGAGTGTACTTTTAAAAAAATTGTGGAAAAAATGGAATTAAAAGATATGAACTTTATTTCTCAACATCTGATCCATCAAGATCAAGACACTTTTGTAACTGGTGATACCAGCTGTGTGGTCCATCCCTATAGAACTGAGGCTGCTGGGAATGTTAACCTTGTCGGTGCCGTCTTGTTTACATTATCAACTGAAGAAAAATGGGTGCCCTTTAAAGATGTTTTAGGGTCAGGAAACAAAAAGAAGGCAGGAGGAGCCAAATCAGGACCTGAAGGTGGATGCCCACTGATTCCCCACGGATGCTCTGGTAAGTTCGCCCTCGTTCAGTGAGAGGAATGAGCAGGATCGTGTGAGGGAGGACTTTCTGGTGAAGCTGTCCTGGGCGCTTTTCTGCCAAAGCTCTGGACAACTTAATAATAATAAGCAGATGCTATTGCTCTTCGGCCTTCCAGAAGAATTAGCATGCAAAATGCCTTGAGCATCCCCCAAACCGCTGCCATCACCTTTGCTCTTGATGAGCCTGCTTTTGCGTTGACGGGACCCCTTCTACCTCTTGAACAGTCTGTTTCTGTGTTGACGGGACCCCTTCTACCTCTTGGTACAGTCTGTTTCTGTGTTGACGGGACCCCTTCCACCTCTTGAACAGTCTGTTTCTGTGTTGATGGGACCCCTTCCACCTCTTGAACAGTCTGTTTCTGTGTTGATGGGACCCCTTC